AAGTAATTTAATACTAATAAAATGAAACATTAAAATTGAAATATATTTCGCTATATTGTATGAGTATCATTCTACTTTTGAATAAATAAACACAAAAATGCAAGTGGATATTTAAAAAATGGTTAAATACATGAAATAACAACTTACTTTCATAAAAAAATTTATTATAACATTCTATTTTTGTTTTTCTTTATTACACTAATGTATTTTTAAGTTATTTTTTATTAGAACATTGTACTTTGAAAAATTTACCTCATTATAGCAATGAGGAACCTGTTACCTTTTAAACTGGTTAACCCTTTGATTTTTTTTACTTGTGTGGCTTTAATGAGATGATGTGGATGACACATCATTTTAATAACAACGTGCATGTCTTGACTATCTATTAGTGTGGCTTTAATGCGTGGCTTTTTTTTGCTTGCTATCTATTAGTGTGGATGACACACTAATGTGCATGTCTTGACTCTACAACGTGTGAATCGCTATAGAATCATCAAGTTTAATAACATAAAATTTATAGGCCTTGGAATACTCGGCATAACCAACAAAAATGCGTTCAATACATTTCTCACCCAAAGTTTTCCTTTTGGGTTCGGGTAGTCTTACGACCGCCCAACAGCCCCAAACTCGAATATAATTCAAGTTTGGTCTTTTCTTGAACCAAAGTTCATATGGGATAATTTTGTTCCTTTTATCGGAAACTCGATTTAATAGATAGCAAGCCATTAATATGGCTTCACCCTAAAATCCATCACTCAAAGATGGAGTCAAGTACAAATCACAAAGATTACTTTGAATTCAATCAAGCAACGATGAGTCCCTTTTCACATTAGGAAAAGGTTATCTAGTGATCTTTGTTAACATGCAAGTTTTACATTTTCTAGAAAACATGTCAAAGGCTGGAATTAATCCTTCCATTAACATTTCTTTCATTCTTCCGAAATTCACATGACCGAGTCTTGCATGTCATAAACTAGAATCAACATAATTTGTACTTGAAATAAAAGCATAATTTAGAACAACTTTATTATTCAAAATTCAACACGAAACATTCCATTTATCAAAGAGCCACTTTTTGACAAACACAAACTTATTGGACTCAAACACTTCCCTGTATCCTAACTAAGCCACGTTCAAGAATGGGAGCACTTGACTCATTCCCAATGTGTAGCGTAGATCCCTCTTGATATGGTTTGTTTAGGGGACTGGGAGATGTTTTCGAATTTCTTTGAGAAGAATTTTTCTAGCAACTTGGTTATCAAAGGAAAGAAGGCAGAAGGTATTCTTTGAGATCTCAGTTTAAGGTGAATTTTTACAAAGTTTTCATAGATTATGTGTTATAAGTTTTTACACAATTTACTTTGATGCATGAAAGTATACACTACGTTGGATTCAAACCAATGTGTTTAAGTGTTATGGTAAAATTCTAAAATTTGATATAGTTGTTATCGCCTAACATTTCATCCGATAAGGCTGGGTCATCGCCCAAGGCATTATCCGATGAGGGTGTTCATCGCCCAAGGCTTTGTCCGGTCAGGGAATTCATCACCCAAGGCTTTGTCCGTTGAGGACGTTCATCGCCCAAAGTGTTAACCGGTGAGGGCGTTCATCGCCCATGTATTGTCCGATAAGGGCATGAGTTGTCCGATGAAATCATATATAGCCCAAGTGTTGCCCGATGAGGGCATATATCGTCTGATAAGGGTGTATATCGACTAAGTGTTGTCCGATGAGGGTGTATATCAACCAAGTACTGCCCGATGAGGGCAGCCATTACCCATATGGTGTCCGATGAAGGCAGTCATTGACCAAACAATTGTTCCTTGTGATTTTTCCCGATGTTAAATCATTATGTTTGTGCATTATATATATATATATATATATATATATATATGGTGGGGTAACTGCGATAAATGGCGGGACAACCGCAATAGTTGATAGGGTACTTGCGAATAGATGACGGGCCACCACGATAGTCGGCAGGGTACCTGTGATAGCGAGACAACCGCGATAGTTGACAGGGTACCTGCAAATAGATAGCGGACCAACCACGATAGTTGGCAGGGTACCTGTGACAGATGGCGGGACAGCCGCGATAGT